GAGCCGCCAGTTCGGAAGACATTTTAGAGTGGTGGAGGACGCATGAGACAGAATATCCGACTTTATCGAAGATGGCCCGTGATTTTCTTTCAATACCTGCAACTTCAGTACCTGCTGAGAGATTATTTTCTAAAGCATCATTAGTAATTAGAAAACATAGAAATAGGTTAAGTGATGAGTCAGCCAGATGGTTACTTTGTATTAATTCTTGGTCAAAAGAATTAATATAAAGTAACAGTAATGTCAAAGCTGTTGTGTACTGTTATGTAATTTAATTTGTATTGTATTTTTTTTATTTAAATAAATGGTAAATTGTATAACTCTTTTATTCCATTTCATATAAGGGTCTATCAATCTCTTTCTAGACAGATAATGTTCTTTATAATACAGTCAAGTTAATGTCATTAATTTGTTTTTCATATGTTTCAACTAAGTTTTAGTACATGTAAGCTTATTAAATGTAAACGTTTATTAAGAAACAGACTAACTCCCGTGGGCGTGAGACTTGGTAGACAGCTCAGTTGGTTAGAGCATCGGCACGGATCGCTTAGGTCGTGGGTTCAAACCCCACCCGGTATTAGTTGATTTTTCGAATTTCTCATTAAATGTTTAGACATTTATTAATTTGGTTGGTCTTTCTACGGCTATGTTAATTCAAGCTCAAAATGTGCCTACTCTGTTAAGTTGTTCTAAGATCTAAAGTAACGTTTAATAAATAACAACAATGCGATTGCGGACTCTTGCTGCAAGACCAAGACCAAGAACAAGACTGAGAGCGCAATACCAAGACCAAGAACAAGACCAGGTGTATTGGCGCATGACCAACACCAAGACTGGCTTAGTCTCGTCTTGTTCTTGCAATTTGGGCAACACTAGCTGTGACCGTATGGTGGACTTGCGCCGGCATAGTTATTTAGGGTTGTGTGAGATCTGGCAAAACAAATTGTAAAAATGTAATTTGGTCAGGGTTACATAATTTGTGATACGATGATACGGAAAAGTTGCTGATGGTTTTTAAGTTAATTAATGTCATAAGTAAATATAACGATAAAATATTGTACCGAATTTTTTTTATTAGTTGGTATGTTATTCATTTTATACATAAGAAACAGAAAATATGTGTAAGTATGTCTATTAGCACATACACATGAGATACAGATTACAAGTAGTTCAGGTATCTGTTATTGTAGGCTATTTTAAATTAAAACATTGTTTGAATTAATTATATAGTTATTATTGAAATAAAAATTATTGCTATTAATATTATTTATTGTGTTGTATTATTATTATTAGAATTTCCATACGTGCTTTTTTGTCACATTTTGACTTCCCCCATTTACTATGTGTCCTGCTTTCACACTTCGTACTTTATCCATGTCACGCCTACCTTCATTCCGATTACTTACATGTTAAAAAAATTCTACTTAGACAAGGCTTATGTTCATACAAGTTACTCATTCTACCGATTACTAATTATTGCCGATATGTGTTGCCCGGATTTAGCCCAAAATCTTCATAACAAGCTAGAACACCTTTTTGAGTACTGCTACATCAGATACAATTTTGGTCTTCGTAAATATACTCATAGATCATTATTATACACTATTATAGATATGAAAGTAAAGGAAATAATATTTAGGAAATGCACAAGGATAGCGTTGCCAGGCGTCCGGATAAAGCTGGACACAGGCAGGCTTTTCGGTTGCGTGTCCTGCCAATTTAGGTAGATGGTGTCCGGCCTGTCCGGCTTTTTAAATTTGACCATTTTTATACATTTTTCTTGTATTTACATACATAATATTAAAATTATTAAATATTAATATTGTAATGAATATTGAATGTTTAATAATAAAGAAGACTGATTCATTCAATTTTAATGTTATTTCATTCAATTTAAGAAGATTTTATGGTAAATAATAAAAAGCATTGTTTTACTTTTAAAAAATTGTCGTTACACTAAGACTAAAAAATTAAGAGTATCCGGCCTTTTTACCAAAATGTCCGGCTAACCCCGCTGGTCTGTCCGGCTTTTCGGTTTTAAGGCCTGGCAACCCTACATACGGATAATAAATCCCTGTTATTCGGACCATTTGACAATGAAAATAAAGGTCGAAAGTAGAATACGGCCTCATTTTTTGTATCTTAAACTCCTTGGATAAAATAGCATGTAAGGCATGTACACCAACATGAGAATTAGTGATAAGGTAATGGTATATCAGTATCTAATCTTACTAAATGTCCAGACTTAGGTAAAAAAGTGGATGTCGTACATTATAAGACACGCAGAGTATTTTAAGCGACCACCAAATCTTATAAGATATTGTTATTGGTCATCCAAAAAGGGATTCCATTTAGAAATAGCCGATCGTATAGGAGAATTCCGCCATACACAGTCAAGCTCTGTGGTGAATGAATTTGTTGAACTTGTTTTACTAAGAAGTGTATCGTACTTAGTCGCTCCATTACTATAAAACCAGCAGTGAGCCTCCTAGATTTTACCTTTTCCAACTTTAAAAAAAAGATATATATTAAATCGTTCCATACCTTACTAATAACAAGGATGGATCTAGGTTCTGGAGAATTACTGATTATGAGACACCGTAGCTCTGAAAGGTCAGTAAATTCAGAAGTTGTAAAATTATTATAAAGAAAGAAAGAACCATTTATTTAATTGATAGAATCAAGCGTTACTTTGTGTAAATCCATTATAATAAACAATTTATTACTTTGCAACCTTCCGCTAACTAATTACAATGATGTGTCTTACCTGGATTGAAGAGCACCTCCCTCCTCTCCTCCTCCCTCAACTGCATGCACTAACTCCGTCAGCACTAGTCCCAGCAACACTACTCCCAACACCACTACTCCCGGCACCACTACTTCCAACACCACTATTCCAGGTAAGACACACCATCGACGACAATACTCTCGAACAATACAGAGTATTGTCGTCAATGGTGTGTCTTACCTGGAATAGTGGTGTTGGAAGTAGTGATGTAGGGAGTAGTGGTGTTGGGAGTAGTGGTGACGGAGTTAGTGCATGCAATTGAGGATCTGTATTGTTCGAGAGTATTGTCGTCGATGGTGTGTCTTACCTGGAATAGTGGTGTTGGAAGTAGTGGTGCCGGGAGTAGTGGTGTTGGGAGTAGTGTTGCTGGGACTAGTGGTGACGGAGTTAGTGCATGCAGTTGAGGGAGGGCGGGAGGTGCTCTTCAATCCAGATAAGACACATCATTGTAATTAGTTAGCGAAAGGTTACAAAGTAATAAATACTTTATTATAACCGTTTATTTGATAATCACACTTTACACACAATTTAAGAAATTTAAATAGGTATAAATTACAATGGGCAAATAATATGCATGCGCAGGTGTAAGACTGCTTACGCATTAAAAATTATTTTATAAGCAGAACATGCATGATGTTAATTAATAATGAAACAAAAAAATTAAATTAAAAATTAAAAAAAGAAATTAAAGATAAAATGTGACATCAAATAGGTCTCCAACTCAGCATATTGCTGCAGAGGCAGCGTGGTTTTCAGTTGGAACCTTGTGACTTCACTGACGAGTCGGTGTGTGAACCTCGAATTACGCGTAACCACAACTTATAGACCAATAGTAATTAGCCAGTGGGTTAAGGAGTAGTGCTAACGAACACAGTTAACACAGACATACTGTATTAATATCAATATAAATGGTGTGTAGTACATACGCTATACCTATACATATTTGGCTCTATGGGGAAGACAAAGCAAAGTAACAATAAAATTTATGATTTTCGTACATATGTAATTTATATTCTGTACTCAAAGGGACACGCCATATTCCGAGACGTCCTAGATTTTTTTAGAAAATAAAAAAGTAAGATTAAAAATAAATAAATAATTATTAGGCCAAGACTCAGGAGTTTTTCTTTACCATTGTGGTGACCACCATTGCTGATTTCCAAAAGAGCAGAAGTTGAAATCACACATGACGCACTATCGGCTAGATTAAGTTCACCTGAAACGCGTTCACAAAGAAGGAATTTCTGTTAATTAAGCTGGAAAACTCTATTGGCTTCAAATGTGTGTGATGTGATGGTGTATTTATCAATGCAAGAACGGTTTAACTATATGTTCAAGTGTATAAGGCGTTCATCACTATCGTTTTCTGTAGACAGGGGACAACATGGTGAACAAATTTTGCTCCTAGCAATTCCAGTTTTGAAATTGTAAGGTATAAGCCATTAAGAGTTGGACGGTGCAATTTACCTTTGAATTTTGGACTCGTAAGATATATCACAGCAGCATAACCAGCTTCTGATACGTTGGAGAAACCACGTACTGAAAATGAGATTGCATTAGAAGGCATACAATGCCGTGGAATAGCAGCTCTATTAATATTATTGAGATTGTTAGTAAATGCAAGCTACTCCTTTTCTAGTTCAAGCGTTAGGATATCATCCTAGTTTAGCCCGGATAACCAAAGACGTTGAATAAATAGCTTGGCTCTGAAAACTACAGGGCTATCCATTCACTAAGATCGGGCCACAATTGAAAAGACTTTTCACTTCGTAGGACTACCACATGATTTTACAGAAAATTTATACGTAAAATAACTATTCATGGGATTACATTAGACTCCAAGAACAGCTACAAACTGAATGTTATCGCCATCTTGAATTGAATGAAGACGTTGAAGCTGCTCATCTCATAAATCATCTAAAAATTTACGTCTGTTACCACTTCCTGAGCTTATAACTTCCGATAACCATTAATCCTTCGAGTTTGACTTTTAAACATAAACGTAAACATCAGGTTCTTCTATTTCAGCTACTCTAGGATAACGGTTACGTTGTCTATTTGCCAACTCTTGCAGAGAACGGATGGCAATGAAAAGTTTAGATCTTAGACCATAAGTATTTGAAATCAGCTTATATGTAATTAAAATTACCGCCACAGTATTAGTTGATACCGGTCATCTGGACAAATCCAGGTCATAAGAAGCATCATGCGTATGTCTGTAAGTAAAACAGTTCCATGCCTACGGAAGTTAAGAAGAATGTGGGTTACATCACGATAAAGCTTATAACCACCATGGAGGCACTGATTTAGGGGCATAAAATACTGCTCTACTAAAACAAGGTTGACATGGGAAGGCGAGATGTGGTTTAACTCTATAGATTCCCCTTAACTTGGATAATTTCGGAAACGCATCTCTAGATTGAGAAATCATTTCCGGAAAATTCGAATTTCTAATGGTAAAATTCCTCACACTCTATATCTCCTATTAGACATCGATAAGAGTTGATGATGTTAGGAAACTCTTCTATTTTCCAGAACCTTTCAACTACTTGTGACAACGATAATCCTGTGATTGGTCAGGTTCAGAGGTGGGAAAATTTGGAATGGGACCAGAAAGCAAATAAGCGAAAATTGATGAAATTGCGACAATATAAGAGAGTTTTAATTAAATTGTTAATTGCAATTTTAAGGCATAAAAAATTATTTTCTTTGTTAATTAAAATTATAATTTTTTTTTAATTAATAATTTTAATTTGGAAGTTAGCATTTAAAACGCTTTAACGAGAATGCTTTTTGGGGATATTGGAATAAGTTAAAATGGACGTTGTCGTTCAGTCATATCTGTCTTACATTTATGCATAAGCGAATATGAGTGATGACTGCGATATTGAGAGAGAACGCAGACTCGCAGATTCGCAAGTCCACTAAACAGGTTAAAGTAATGTTCTTCAAAGCGTACTGTCAAACATTTTGTATGTATATATGCAACAATGCGTTTAGGAATTTGATGGCACTAACTTGTCACTGTAGTGCATCTATTATGTTCGCGGAGGCACGTACGGACGACTTTTACGCTATAATGCGAAAGAGATGTGCCTCGCTTCTTTATCGTATTAGAGACTCTTCTAATAGCATCCTAAGCGCTTTAGCCGATAGGTGGTACTCTCCGCTTTTAAGCCACTGGATTCACCTGCACATGCATATACATTAAAATTTAAAATCGAAGTAAAAATAATAAAATATATTTTTAGTAATTTTAGTTATTTTTTATTTTTTTATAATTTTTATTACAGGTTTAAACTAAACTCTGTTTCACGAAAAAGTTCCACGCAAATATGTGAACTAAAATGTAATATTGAAAATTTGACAGTAAATGTCAAATGTCACGTTTAAGGGACTGCTGTAGTTAGAAGGCCTACTCTTAAGCCGCAATTTAACAAATACTACATACTTATACACAGAAACTAACAATAAAACATATTTTGTATTAAAGCGGAATATGTCTATTATTGTGTACATATAGCACGACGATTCCCAACACTACTACACTATGAAAGGCACAACATCATCGATAATACGACACGTGTTTCGCCTCTACACGAAGCATCCTGTGAAGTAGACTCTACGGTAGCTGACCGCTAATGGTCGATTTATAGTTGCAAACTGACTGCGCAGATCATTTATGCAGTTTTATCGAACGTGTGTACAAAAATCGGCGCAGATTTTTTTGGTTGGTGCAAGCAATCGGAGCAAGGTTTAAAATCTATTCGATAAATCGTTGTCGATCGCGTTTGCACAGTTTTATCGTGTACGTGTGTGTGTGTGTGTGTGTGTGTGTGTGTGTGTGTGTGTGTGTGTGTGTGTGTGTGTGTGTGTGTGTTTGTGTATGTGTGTATGTGTGTACGGAATTCGGACCAATCATTCAGTTCGTTTGCAAGTTGTGTGGAATGATGAGAGAATTTTGATATCAACGTAGAAACTTCATACATTCGTACGAGCGAGCTGCAGCTAAAAATCTCAGAGTTGCAGACAATCTTTTATGAGAACTTATTACTTCTCTCATCACGGTATTGCTTTTTTGTATTGGCGGTGTAACTAAAAAGAGGCGGTGTAACTAAGTCTCTTCATTCATAATCAATTAATTGTGCCAGTCTTTTGGAGAAAATTTCATATGTGAGAATGTATGTGAATTTTCTTATGTGAGAGTATGACTTTCTTTTAAGAAGCCAGACTAGCGCAAGCACTTCATCGTCTTCCATCACGAATGACGTGTTTTTCTTCTGAGTTTCTGCCGAGAACTGACGATCGACGCAGATATAGTAGATGTGTGGACGCACTACCGACGTTCGATAAACTGCGCAAATGAACTGTGCAGTTCGTTTGCGCAGTTTTATCGTTGCCGTGTATACCGGGCTTAATTGGTGCTGGAACTAGTGATAACGGACGCAATTGAGGGAGGGCGGAAGGTGCTCTGCAAACTAGGTAAAGTAGTAAGGTTTATTACGCGAATCGTAGCTAATTGAATTTTTATCATCGTTATGTAATGGATTTCCGCAAAGTAACGCTTGATTCTATTAATTATTTTGATTCATAATTGAATCAATACATGATGGATATAGATGTCTACGGACTATATCATCCACTTGTTCACTGATAGACTGTGTGCTTGTCTGGCACCTTTACTTCATTGAAAAAAAAACTTATTTTTAACCAAATTCATAAAAAAGGAATCTTTTCTGTGTTTAATGCTACTTTTTTATTATTAAACCTACTTTGCTTACGTTTTTTTGAATGTATATTATTGTTGTTATTATACTTTCGTCCTGGTTTCATATAAATATCATCAAAACTCAATGGCAATTATTATTAGTTTATATACATTTTTAATTAGGACAATTATTGTGCTTTTACTTAGCCGCATTCCGCTATGAATTAATGTTTAAAGTTTGATTTAATGCGCTTCCCTGCTAAACATGCAAGATTATCTTTAACGAAAATTATGATGGAGGGTTACGCATTGAATAAAGTCTGCAGTCTGTAAACATGTTCAAGATCTTCCCCACCATTATATCACATTTGATAAACCGCAAATCCTCGCAAAAGAACACCGATTCCTACCAAGGATGACAAGCTAGGCTATTGAAATTAAAAAAAACACCCTAATTACAATATAGAAGATAGATGGGTGCTGCCATGTGCTTGGGATCCTATAATTAACAAAATTAAACCCAAACTCAAGCATACCACTGCAAGACTTCAAGATACTGTTAGCTCGTTCTGCGTAGATCGGACCAAAAATTAATATTTTAAAACTGAAGGTGGGGGCTAACTATGAGATTGGGTCGACAAACATCTCAGTCCCCCCACCCCGTGACCATAGGTGCTGTAAAGCACCCGAATCGTCGCGAATTAAAAAGAAGTTAATATAAGTAAATTAAACGCAACAAAATCCGTTATATGTATATAGTTTTATTCAATATGATGGAGGGTGTTAAACGTTAGATGATATCAAATTAGCAGAAGACCAGATAGGTGGTAAAGGGCTAGAGACGGGGGGCAGACAGAGCGCGTGGCGGGGCGCGCGCGCGCCGCCCACCGCCCTTATAAACGGCCGCGGAGTCTGCGCCGGCACAGCGTGACCACTGACCAGCGCCTGAGTACGATGCTCTAGAGCGTGTGTTGCGACACGTCTGCGGCCGCTTCACTCCCGCGCTTTAAACACGCCGTTTACGTGATATAAACCGCAAAAATCACTTCTGTGCTTACAGCCGTCCACGGTCGCGACCGCAACAGCGGCTTGTACCTACGTAGTTTTACACGCAAAGGTAAGGTCTTGCCCATTGCATTTGATATTACTTTTCTAAAACTTTTTACTCTAAATGAAATTCATAAACAAACGAAAAGGGAACCTCTTATATCTACGAAAATAGTTTTTTTTTTAATATTTCCATTTATATTTAAAGTTCATTATAACAATATAGTAAAACAATATTAAGAAAACTATAAAAATCTATTGACATTATGTTTGTTTGTGTATGTTATTCAATCTCTCTTTTTTTTAATCGTTTACTATAAAATAAAATTTACGTGTATCTTTTGTATCATCTAGTTCTTTTTGATCGTTTTGATTCACTGGCTGCCCGAAGATATGTTGCATCCTTTTACCATTTTTTATACCATTTTCCACGGGTTGCTCTTTGAATAACCGTCCAGCCCTAAAATTCCTCCATCGCGAAAAATTTTTTAATACTATCCACACCATTGAATATTTGGCGATCCCACTACTCTGAGATTTATTACTAGGAGTTTTTTTATTTTAATTTTCCGATTCAATACGGATTAAGGATCTACAAGAAACTAGCTTGTTCCTTTTTAAAAGACAGGCACCACACCTGCAATAAGACTGTTGATAAAATATCTATCAATATTCCTAAATAATGATATGTTATATTATTTAGGAATATGGATACTTTTACTAATATTTTTAGACGGTATATCGATAGTTTGATATTGAAATATAGATATCGACAGTCGATATTTTATTTAAATAAATAAGTTTAAATATTTGATTTCTTCAGCTACATCTGTAGCATCTGAACGAATTGCTTTTGCAATCAATCTTTTAGTGCCCAATAATCGTAACAAGTATTTTTCAAAACTTACTGAAAACTATTGGTACTTACAGATATTGTTTTATTTAAATTAAAGAATAATTACTATGAATTAAAACCAAACATTTTCATACATTTATAATTTAATTTGTTTAATGAGTATACTAAATTTAAAGTTGCGTAAATCATTTTGAGCTGATTTACCTACAATTTTTTTTTAATAAAGCCGACATTTTTATCAATATATCAAATTCCGATATTGATATATTTATAATTATCAATATATCGTAAATCCGACATTTTACAAAATATCAACAGTCCTAACCTACAATTCCCCTGGTTTTACAGTTGCCCATGAGCGTCGGTCATCACTTACCATAAGGTGAGCCACATATCCGTGAGCTCCTTCTTCAATCAAGAAAATCTATGCATGCATGTAATAGAATTTCCTAATTTAGTTTTCATCCACTTCCAGACGTTTGAATAATTTGAAATTTGGCAAAAGTATTAGGAACGGATGTCAATAGAATATCTTCACTAATTTTCTCACTAAGATCATCACAGCTCGTGTCAAAGCATGTTGTTTAAGTTTTCTTAAGCTTTAATATTATTTGTTTATTAATAGGACGGTGAAAATCGTCTCGTACCAAAGACTTTGGTTCGGGACGTGTTGCAAATTAGCTTATTGTTATTATTTTTGCATTCATTTATTACAGCCTTTCGAAAATCCACTGCTGAACACAGTTGTTGCCATTCCTAACAGACGGATATATAATTCGATACGAAAATTCATTTGAACTAGTGTTCGCACAGTGGCTGAAATTTTACCGTAATTCATTACAAAATTATTAAGTAAGTATATTAAGCAAACTCTATTTGACTTTCAACTGCAAATGCCAGTATATTCTAAGTCTATGCATAAAAATATAAAATTTATAAACGTCATTGAGTACATCTGTCATTTAATATTTTTGTCAATTTTTTTAAAATTCTTTGGCGACAATCTTGGCGTACATTACACGCTCATGCAGGCTGTCAGTTTTGCAACAATCACGGTTGTGATTGACGAATACCGTGTAATGCAGTGATTGACGCCTGCATGAGCGCGTAATGCGTAATGAATTTATTACAATTGGATTTTGTGGGCTTTAATTTTATTGCGCACCCTAATTATTTTTCTAATATAAAAGTAATTTAACATCGGCTACCTGCCAGTGAAAGTCCCGTCAATATCGGTCCAGCCATTTTGGAGATAAGTCGGATCAAACAAAGAGAGACAAAAATTAAAAAAAAATTTTTGTTTTAAGTATCTTATATACTTTTTATACATTTAGTAAAAATCTGTTATTTTAACATTACAGATCTCAGATCTTAGAAACAACAGTTCAGTGATCTTAGTTACAAATAGAGGCTTCAAATTTGTTTATTCGTAGATATAGATAACTTTTAAATAACATTAGTTGAAGTAAGTAACCCTTTTTCAAAATATTATTAAAAGAGAAGAACACTACGTAATTACACGAAAAATACAAAATTTATTAACCTGTTTAAGTACCTACCTTTAATTTACGTTAATAAATTTTGTAACATAAAACCTGAACTATTAAGTGAATGAAACTTATTTTACGCGATAAAATCCGTAAAATTAGTTTTATTAAATGCGTTTTATTTTTTGCGTAAATATAAAAAATCAGCTGTTAAATAAAATGAAAACTTTATTGTTTTAAAATACCTAGTTGTTTTAAAATATAAACCTAAACATTTATAAAAATAAAGTATCAAAATTGAAGTATCTGTTTGTAATGTCGAAATAACCAACAGCATTTTACTAAATGCTTACGAAAGTATATTCGATACTTAAAACAAAAAAAACAATTTTTAATATTTTTGTCTGTCTGTTAATTCCTGTTAATCACCGCATGGCTTTGCAGTGAAAGTTCTGTCAAAATCGGTCGGGCCAATGCAGATATTATAAGGCTTAGGCTAGGAAAAAGGATTAGATTGCCGCGCAAAAAAATTAAAACCCGTGAAATCCAATCGTAATAAATTCTACGCAGACGAAGTCGCGGGGAACAGCTAGTCTACAGCTAGTGAGAACCGGTAGTAAAATTCGCATCAAGCTGAATCAGGCATATTATTATTGAAGGTTAGGGTTCCTTATATTTAAGCGAAGTGTTCGCACATTAATATCACGGTTATTGCTATCTATGAAGATTGATACATTATATTCGTTATTGTTTTTTTTTTTATAATTTCGAAACCAGTAATGTTGCTTATATTATTTAATGTATACTAGGTATTCAGAGTACATATAATAGCAACTTATAATTTAATTGCTTGTAAAACTTGTTAGTAAGTAATTATTAAAACTGGGTTGAAGATCCTCCCGTTAGAGAGAGTACTTAGTATGTTCTGTGTCAAAGATTTGCGGAAATGCGGCCGTCAGATACCTATCATGTCGTCGTCAATTCAGCGTCCATGGACAGTTAATCATTAAGGCATTGCAAAATTATTTACACTATTCTTATTCTTCAAGTATCAGGTTTATTTTGATTAATTTATATGAAATATCTATAAATCTCTTCCGTTTTACTTCAAAATCTTAAACCAAACATAGTATTGTCCAGTACAAAACAATACAAGTTGCCAGTAATGACTTACGGATCCAAGTGTTGATCTTTGACTATTGGCATTTAAGGAAGCTCAAAGTCAATCTGCTGGCTATAGATCTGAAAGATATATATCCGAATCCATAAGCTGAGAGACTTTAACAGTTAGGAAAATTGATTGTCTATAAATGGATTTTTCAAATGTTTTTTAAATTCCCATTTAGAAATTGCAACTGCAGCCGATGAACCATCATCTGCAACGATTTATCATACACACGATCGATAAATCTACGCAAAGCGGTTTGCACAAATAAATCACTACGATATATCCTTACGTGTGTAGTAGTCATTATAGACACTAAAACATTTTCGTAAACAAATACGACCGACGCAAAATTGAACTTTGCGGGGTCAGTGTTTAAAGTGGGGTCGAAAGCGTTTATCGCACGGCCAGTGACATTTGATCACCTGTGACCTTCTCCCGTGCCATCCATCCGTCTATAAATAAAAAACGGTACAGTTTGTTTTCACTCTTTATCTTAGCAATATATAATATGAATGAAATGTTGGAATAAAATTATAATTGCTCGCTACAAACTTACAATCTTTAAAACGAACATAACGTTCAAGTGATTCATAAAAGTAAAATCGTAAAGTTACAGTCCATATTCGTCCCACTGAGTTCTTCTCATTTAGGGCAAATGTCTGATGCGATGCCTCAATGCATATTGGTGAACTTCAAATGTCTGCGAAATATTTTTTTGTTTCTCAGTAATTTAGGTTTCTTTACGATGTTTCCTTCGCCGGTAAACACGTGGTGAGTAATGGTTCACAAACCGATCATAAAATAATTAAATCATAAAATAATTATCATAAATATTGATACAAATTTTCCATTATATACTCTCTATAACTATCGTCTGAAAACTCGTATTACAAAACAAGATCATTGTATCATCGTCACATTAATAAGATATTTCTTGGTTTTAAAAACATCAAATTACATTGTTAAGTACGTACTGAACCGTTATAAGATTGATTTCATTTTTGTCTATAAATTAAAATAGTAAGTATTCTATATTTGGTCATTCTACTATATTTGTAATCATTTTATTAATGTATTAATCATTCATGTATTAATTTAAATATGTGTGTATTTATTACCTACGTATACTTTTTATAATTTTACTTGTTCTCAGTATCCGTCTTCGTAGTGTTATCCCTGGTATATGATTGACTGGCAGAGATGCTCTTGGAATTTAGTTCGTTTTTAAATCCTGTATTTGTCAGATTAGATACGTATTTAAAAAAAACAATGCAAGTAGGTAAAAACAAACTTGAAATCTCCGTTCAACTCGTTTGTGCTGTGTGTCAAGATGATAACTTACCATTACTATTATAGCCTATCAAAAATCCACTGATGAACCAAGCCCTCCCTTTATATCAGACTCAAATAGGAATATTTTCCATAGTTGCAACGCTTAGCAAGCGAGTTTGGCGCAGTTTGTTTTATTCAGCTGTTCATCAAGATGTTGCTGGCCATCTACTGGTCAGTTTCCCCTTGTGCCCTCTTACGACACGCGCAAGACGTTAAGGTACAGCGGA